CTACCCTACCCTCTCTGGCCTGCATTGTGAATCATCCATTCTAAATCCACTACCTGTCCATGATTTACTTATTAGATGAGCTGTTACTGATATAGCACCACTATGTGTATAAGTGTCTGTTAAGTCATTACACTAAAAAAAACAGCAGGAGGAGTGATCATGGCATTCAACCACAACAAACAGAAGCCTTACTGAAAAGGTCAAAGTTCTGGAACTAAGGAGAGATGGGATGGGGAATCCTGCCTGGTGGTACAGCACCTATTTAGGATGCACAAGGTCTCAGGTTTATAGACAATATTCCTGAGTTTGGGAGTAAGAACTCGCTGAAGTTGCGGCTACTTAGACATATGGTGGAGAATTTGTTGCTATCTACTATGCTCAACAATAAATATTTGTCTAATTTATTATTAGCACTTTATCCCAGGTATGCAAGAGTAGGAAAAACATGACATATATGCTGTCTGAGGTTTCAAGCATCTTGGGGGCTTCAGGGAATCTCCAGAAATCTTTCCAAGGGTACAGAGGGACTATTATATTAATAATAAAATCAGACAAATTCAAGTAATTTATACTCTTAATTACATTAAAACATGCATTCAGCTAAGAGTTTCATGAATTAAAAGAAAAAAATTAAACTTGCTATACATGAGCTTCCTTCCTTCCTTCTTCCCTTTATTTATTTAGAAAAATCATGTCAGTTGAGATGGCTCAGTAGGTAAAAAGCACTTGTTACCAAGCTTGATGATCTGAGTTTGCTCCCTGGAACGCACAGAGGGAGGAGGGAACTGACTTATAGACCTTGTCCTCGGACTGCTGAACACACTCTATAAATGTGCATACACACTAAATAAAGTATGAAAAAAATCATTCTCTGCTATGTCTTCTCATAACTCCAATTTTGGAAAAACAGGGCACATGCTAAAATTTTCCATTTTATAATAAATTAGCAAGATGGCTTCCTGACAAATTACAAGCCCTGCAGATCCCCAAAAGATGAAGCAGAAAAAAGTTTCATCAGTTCACACAATTAAAGTGGGGGACAAAAACAAAACAAAAAGAAAACAACCAAAGCCAACCTTTTCATTATAGAAAGCCAAGCCAAAAATTAAAAGGCTGGCTAAAGTTTAAATTGAAGCACAAAACTGAAACCTTTTGATCTGGACAAACGGTAAACTTAACATTTCCATAATACTTACAGCAAGCTGTTTGGGTAGGTTTTCTGCAATACGGCTCAATAGTGACTTTGAAGGTTTTTCTGAGCACAGCAAAACAAGGTTGACATTTCTGTCTCCTCTGAGAAGTAATCCTTTTGCCAATACTCCTACTCGCAACACCCCTTTCAGAGCTCTGTAGCAAAATCAACTTATATTAAAATATGATATTCCTCAACTAGAACTGTAATTTCCTCCAAATGTTAATAGTAAACTAACTAAATGACTTTTACACTGACTATATGCCATTTAAATAAACAATATACATTAAAATAAATAAATAAAGGGTGGATAGAAGGCTCAATGGTTAATTAACAGTGATTGTTCCCAAGGAACAGGGTTATAAATCCCAGTATCCACATAGCAATCTGTATTCTGCAAACACTGGCAACTCCAGCTCCATGAGACTGACGCCCTCTTCTGGTCTCCATAGACACACACATACACATACTCTCATAGACACAAATAAAAATAAATCTCTCTTAAAATCAAGGTCTAAGCTTGTATCGGGACAAATATTGTCTATCTCACAGGATCTCAAAGAGCACAGTCTGGTTTCAAACTTGTTACCTTCTTGCTTCTGCTTCCTGTGTGGTACGTTTTATGTATGGGCCCAAACACCTAGCCCCTTGTGTTTTATTTTACACATCAAAATTGTAAATGATAATACAAAAAAGATTCCCAAAAGGAAAAGAGAAAAATTAGAAAATCATAATGAAATATATCATGAAATATTTCATGTTTTATAATATGAAATATATTAAAGCTTGGCTAATTTATGCTTTATGGTCAATGTTTTTAAAAGTCACTGAAATACAGACAAATCAGCGACAGATGGAGCATAAGCAAAACCAGGAAAGAACAGCTAGATAAAATTGAAAAGTTATATAAGGACTGCTTTGAAACACTGGATATTTTTTTGTAATAACTTTAGTATGTTTTAAAAAATCAACAGTAAAAATTGGTGGTAGTAGAAATGTGCACTACTCATTTTAGCAAAAATACAAGTATATTTAACATGTGTGGACTAAAATCAATCAATTTCCCCCTGAACTTGTATTTATATGTGTATAGCTGCCACATGTGTACAGAGGCCAGAAGAGGCCACTGGGTCTCCTGGAGCTGGAGCTGGAGCTACTAATGGCTGTGAGCTGTCTGATGTGGGTGCTAGGAACCAAATGAACCCAGGTACTCTAGAACTAGAGCAGCAAGCATCCTCAAGGGCTGAGCCATGTCACCAGTCCCTACTCTCTACCATAAAATGTCCATGTAAAGGAAATGAGTATTTTGTAAACACACCTGTCTTTACCTCCCTCTTTCTTATCATCTCCCTCTTTGTTCTTGCTCTTCTCATGTTCAGACAAACTGTCTGAAACAAGTTTTAAAGCACGTTCAGTGATAGAAACAATTTTCTGAACTGCTTGTAACTCTTCTTCAGTTGGATAAATAGTTGCATGCTTTGTCATTACATAACGGTCATCAGATGAGTCAGGGCGACGTAAGGGCTAGAGAGAGGGAAAAGGTTATTTTTCTGAATAAAAGAAAATTATAAATTTTCAATTATATAGTTGCTAGCTTTACAGTAAGAAAGGCAATTAAGCAAATTGTTCACTTAAATTTTTTTCAATAAAATGAAAGCTCAAGCATCTGTCCCTAAAGCAAAACTGTTATGCACACATATATAAATACATGTGTGTATATGTGCACTTATGTTTAAAACCTACAACTATGAAAATGCTTTTAAAAGTTTGTAGTGCTATACTCAAAAACAGAATACCAAATGCTAGTGCTCTACTACTGACGAGTTTTCTCTCCTTGGTAAATGCTTCCTAGTGATCTGAAATTCACCTTGCTTTTAGTAACAGTAATAAATGTACATACAATTGCTCAGACACTGTAATGACAAATGAGAAAGAATAGGTAGCAGAGTTACCTCTAACATTAAAAGCTCTTTCCACTTGAAGAAAAAATAAAGATAATGAAAGTTTCTTACGTATAAAATATTTATCAAAAGTAGGTCTTCACCCAGATTTTAGTAAGTTTGTAAATAAAGAAGAGCAAAGGAAACCTGACCAAGCCTTTATCCTTAAGAATCTTTAAGAGAAGGACTGAAAATATAATCAAGATGAAAACCAATGACATTATTAACTCTAAAAATTTAGCTCATGACACATCATCTAATGTTGAAGGAGGCTTACATTTTCATCCCTTATCTAATTAAGCAAAGCAGATACTCACTGCAGGACCCTGTGGCTGGGGAGGCATGCCTGGTCGGACTCCCAGAAGACCTAGCGGGCCCGGAGGACCATGTGGATAGCCTCCATCAGGCATCCGTCGGCGATCATCCCAGTGGTGCTGTTCTTCCTCCACTCTTCTCCAGTACATGTCTTCTTCATAACGTCTGATGCACAAAGACAAGCAACCCCCTGCAGCTTAACAACTTCCATTGACAACTATAGAAAAACCTATTCTAAAAAAAGTAACCAGCACAGCAATGCCTCAGCAGAAACAGGTGCTTGCACCAGACTGATGCCCTGAGTTTTATCCCTGGAATCCAAAAGAAAGGAGAGAACAGATGTCCTGAAAATTGCCCTTTGACCTCTGTTCATGAACGGTGGCACATATGCCTGTAACCATTGTTACACTGGCACATAAACACACAAAATAAAAAAAGTCCACCTAAATCACTTTAGTACTTTTACCCTATTTCCATTATTTAATTTTCATTGAGAAGTAAACTAAGTAAAAACGAGAGACAACAATGAGAAAAGGAGAAAATTTCACACCTCAAGAACAAAGTGTAGCCGGGCGGTGGTGGCGCACGCCTTTAATCCCAGCACTTGGGAGGCAGAGGCAGGTGGATTTCTGAGTTCAAGGCCAGCCTGGTCTACAGAGTGAGTCCCAGGACAGCCAGGACTACATAGAGAAACCCTGTCAAAAAAAACCAAAAAAAAAAAAAAAAAAGAACAAAGTGTAACAGAAAACATTATTTAAGGTAATGACTGTAAAATCAAATACCTACAATTGAGGATGCCCAACTGATGATGTATATGCAAGAACCAGTTCATACACAGTACGTTCAGGCATTTATTTCATGTCCTCAAAGAAATGAACTCACTTCTTGCATATTTTTCTTTTTGTCTTTAAAAACAATTTTAGTGTGTACATGTCCATGTTTGTGAGCATGACGGGGTGTGTGCCTATACCACAGTATCCACATGCAGGTCAGGAGGACGACCTTCAGTATTGGTCCCCTTCCCATTTTGAGACATCATACTGTGTTTTTGTTGTGTGTGTCTGTGTGTTTTGCTGTGCCACATGCCAGGTTAGCTTGCCCATAGGTTCCCGAGGATTCTCCAGTCTCTACCTCCCACTACAAACATGGGATTAAAGATATGAACCATCAGGTCCAGCTTTACACATGTTCTGGGGATTCAATTTGTATAATAAGTACTTTATCAAAACCCCATCTTCTGATTTCTTTTTTAAACAGTAAAGTTCTCCACTTATGATATAGGCAGTATAAAATATTTTCTCTGCTACAAAGACTTTGTGGTAAATGGAATTGTGGTTGCAACCAACAGTTTCATTGTTAGGGAAATACAAGGGCAATGGCAAATTATAACAAAAGTAGAAAATATATCTTTGGCTAGAGATGTCTGTGACTCAGGTCCTAAAAAGTGTTGCCAAAAGGAATAAAGGCTGTATTGCTAAAGACATCCAATAGTGAAACCTCATTGCTATTGGTTAAGTAAAAATCACTCTGTATATTAAATAAAATACTTAAGAGTGCTAGCTTTGGCAGCACATATACTAAAATTAGAAAAATAGAGAAGATTAGCACAGCCCTTGAGCAAGATGACAGGCAAACTTATGAAGCATTCCATAGAAAACAACACTTAGAGTTCAGTAGTTGGATATCTAGCACATAGCCTTTCCTGCCTTGATTCTTTTTTTTTTTTTTAAATATAATAACTGAGTTGAGTGGGCTTTTTTTAAATTTATTTATTTATTTTATGTATATGAATACACTGTAGCTGTCTTCAGACACACCAGAAGAGGGCATCAGATCTCATTACAGATGGTTGTGAGCCATCATGTGGTTGCTGGGAATTGAACTCAGGACTTCTGGAAGAGCAGTCAGTGGTGCTCTTAACCGCTGAGCCATCTCTCCAGCCCCCTCCTGCCTTGATTCTAATTTTTACTTTTAATTTCAATAGCTATCTCAAAGGAATCCATGTAGCAATAAGACCATCTTAATAAATCTGTTTAAAATAATAATAAAAAAAGGTGTGTATTTATTGATTGCTACTGTAAAAATGACCAATATTTCAGGTAGGGAATAAACTGTATATTTTAATTTTAGGTCATCTGAGGACCAGTAGAATACTTCTATGTTACTTGGGCCTTTAGAAATAGAAACATAAGAATCAAAAAACAGCTCAAAAGATCTAGAAAATCACATTTAGTTCAGTGTTACCGATAAAAAATGTTTACATAAGGGCAGGAATTTTATTATCTATAAACTCATGCTCAGCATTTGAAAACATTTCCAAGTACCAAGTAGGTACTTAAGATAATCACTTGATATATGAATAAAAGAAACTTAACTGCATGATCTAGTCATAGAATTTCTAATATATTACAAAAGCACAAATTGAAAAAAATGTATTTTTTACTATACATAAAAATGATCTTACCTATCACTGAAACCTAAAGATAGCATATAATAAAAATATACATAGTAGCTTTATAATAAAATGCTCTAGAAGATTTTAAGTTCTAAGCCAGCTTGGGTCATGCATTGAGAGTCTATCTCAAAAGCCATGAAGAGATTAAAAAAAAAAAAAAACCATACAGTCTTTGTAAACATACACATACATCAATACACATAATAAAAAATCTTTAAAAAAAAAATCCAAAAACATTGTAGGTGTATATACCTGAAATACCAGTGTTGGGAGGGGTGTTTGTGAAGACAGAATAACAAGGCCTTGCTGGCCACCAAGTTTAGTTCTTGGTTGTGAGAGATCTGTCTCAAGGAAATAAGTCAGAGAGTGATGGCCTCTGACTGTGTGTGCATAAATGTACACACTGTATCTACATCTATCTACACAGCACACACTCTCACTCTTTCTCCCCAGCTCAGAAACACTGAAACTCAAAGAAGCCAGATAAAAAAAACCACTGTATATATGATTTAATCATTTAAAACTGATTTAATTTCTAAAATCTATAGAATTTAGAAAGAAGGCTCCATAGTGCTGAGACTCGACAGGAAACATGGAAGACATTGGGAGTGGTTGTTAATGGGATTATAATTTTTTTTTAAGGAGTGATGAAATATCTCAAAACTGATGGTGGCAACTGCTTTACAACTTGGTGTATTTACCAATATCTTGTAATTCAATTACTCAGTTTAAAAGAGTTTTTGCTGGTTCTAGTCTTCAAAGTATGACCTTTCTTCAGATATTACATGTGTTTGTCTGTGTTAGGAATATGTGCACATTTGAGTTCAGGATCCAGAACAGGGCACTAAATTCCCTGGAGCCGGCATTACAGGCATTTGTCAGTCACCTGATGTGTTGGAAACCAAACTTAATTGATAATAGTGGCATGTGCTCTTAAACCCTGAGCCGCCGGTATAATCCCAATTTCTTCACATACTTAATATATCAATAACTCTTATCACTTTTTTCACGGAGACGGAGTCCTGTTATAGCCCTGAACTCACATTACTTTGTTGGGATTAAAAGTGTGAGCTACCGCCACAAAATCCTTACTACCAGGACAACAATCAAATATACTTAGCATTCTAATATCTATCTTTCTTGATTTATATCTTAGTGAACATTGAAAGCACACAAAGTAAATAAATCTGAATATAGAAACCATATTCACAGAATAAGGTATTAAAAAAAAAAAGGGGGTGGATGGGTGATTCGGGGGGAGAAGAGCCACTTACTGTAGAGCTACAAGTTAAAAATAAAAACCTACCTTATCTCCATCCGCCAGCGTTCCTCCTCCTCTCGTCTCCGCCAGTATTCCTCCTTCTGCATTTGCTTTCTCATTTTCTCTTCTTGAATTTTTCTTGCACGAATACTGGGCTTCACTTCTACTTGCAAATCTGGATTTACTTTTTTCTGTTAACACCGATAATACATTTTTAAAAAGGAGCAGGTGCCTTCAACAAACAATTCATTAAAAACAACTTACTTCTGTGTTTATATTGTCTGTGCATGTGTAGCATGTGTGGAGCTCAGAAGATAACTTGGATAAGTAAGTTTTCTCCTTTCACCATGGATCCCAGGGATCACTTTCAGGTTATCAGAAAGGTTCCAAGCGCCTTTACCTGCCTCAAACCATTTTTAACCACAGTTTTACAGTCTCTCAACAGAGGCTTATATTTATAAATTTCATGTCGTAGATATGTGTTGGTTTCTTGTTTTTATTTGTGAGACAAGGTCTCATGTAACCCATGCTGGCTTCAAAGTAGATTTGTAAATGATGGTGATCTTAAACTGTTCTGTCTCCCTCTACCCAAAGTGAAATGATGAGATTATAGACACTGTCTATCAAGCTCAGTATTTGCAGTGCTAGGGACGCAACCCAGGGCCCTGAGCATGCCAGCTTACTTAGCAGTCTACAGACTGAGGTATATACTCAGTCGTATGTGTCTGTGTGAGAGAGACTGAGAGAGACAGAGAGAGACTAAAAATTTCCTAGAGAGAGAGAAGTTGGCTTTGAACTTTGAGTACAACCTTAGAATTAGGTTGAATCAGAAAAAATATTTGTTATAGGCTTAATTATTCATGCTCAAGAACATATAAAAACTATGTCACTTAATGCTGACTTTAACAGGAAACTATGAAATCCTTGGAGGACTTTTCATTTTGCTTGTGATGATTATTAGTGTATGCCTTAAAGGATTTATTACTTAATCCAGCTGGAGCCAGATATGAGTGATTCCAGTTATATGAATGACATATTCCCATCCTGTGTTTAAAAGAAAAATCACACACCCATTCTACCAGTCCATACTTTAGTAACTTTAACATGCTAATACCTGAATATAGGCAATGAAGAATTCCTAGTATAAAATAAATGAAGAGATTTTCCAGTACTAGCTCCAAATTAATTTCACTGAGAATGTACCACCATAAAGGAGGCAGCTGAAAGCCAGGTAGTGTTTGTGCATGGCTTTAAGCCCAGCACTTGGGAGGCAGAAGCAGGTGGATCTCAAGTTCTTGAACAGCCAATGCTACCTACACAGAAAAATCCTGCCTCACAAAACTAAAGGAGGAGAGACATAGGTGAGGTGATATTTTTTACATCTAACATAAGTCAACTATCATTACACAACGTCTTGACCCAAGCAATATAGTAGTTTTGCCATATTCTACTTTTGCCAGTTACACTACAACCAGAGTCATACTACTATTCTATCAAAGTGAAAGTATCAATAAGACATGCAAATTTAGAATGGGAAAACATACACTAGGTGAGTTGTGGTTAGATACAGAGACTGTGCTATTTGTTTTATAAAAGGACAACTCAACGGCTGAAGAGACAGCTGGATCAGAGGCTAAGAGTATTGGCTGTTCTTCCAGAAAAACCTTGATTTGATTCTCAGTACTCTAACTGATTCCCAGTCTGTAACTCCAGTTCCAGGAAACCAAATGCTTTCTTCTGACCTTTTTGGGCAACAGGCAAACATCAGAAACACAGCTATGCATGCACGAAGAACACCCGTATACATAAAATAATAAAAATGTATGTTAAAAACTTAAAGGACAATAGTTAGCATTTACTTACTTTATACTGAAGTCTATGTCTTCGTCCTTTTAGGTGCATCTCTTTAGCATTGGGATCATTAAAGCTGCATTCACATAATTTACAATGGAAGCGAATGACTTTTCCTTCATCGTTCCGTACCTTGGTGTGGAAAAATAGAACCTTTGATCCATTTGAAAGTAATCTTTGAAACACTGTCTCAGTACTGTAACCTTGGCTGGCCTATGTAGACCAGTCTGGCCTTGAACTGACATAGATCTACTATCTCTGCTTCTTAACTGCCCAGACCTAATTTTTCTAAAAAGGACAGAAACTGAGACTGCTTTTACTTCAATATCTGTCTGAAAGTATTTGGATTTCTTTATGAAGCATTTCTATTAATTCTTTGGCCATTTCATACACGTATACAATATATTCTGGTCATATCCCATCTACCATTCATTCTCATCTATGCCAACTCTTCTCCCCCAAATAAGCTGCTTTGATAATTTCATGTCTTTTTGTTTTGTGATCTACCGGATTAAAATGGGCTACCTGCATGAGCAGATTTATGGATTTATCTACAGGAGGATGGGCAATGTGTCAGTGTCTACATCACTGAAGATAATGACTTCTCATTCCTTCTTAGCAGTCAACAAACATCAACAGATCTACAAGGAGTAGTCTGGCTCCATGAGGCCCTGCACCATCCATGACTGAATGTTTACTGGTTCCATTGTAAGCTGATCCTTAGAGAGTCGACCACGCCTCTCTAATATAGTTAGATGCCTTAAATCCACAAAAGTTACTGACACCTGCTTCTTGGAGATGAGAATGATTTTAAAATGCAACTCTGATATGCAAATTTCTCAAAGTTGAAGACTTTCAAGCACATGAAATCAATCAAGATGCAGGCTTTTTTCCTAACTGCACAATGAAAAAAAACTGATTCAGATGTTACTATTAAGTTTAAATTGTGCTATTAATAAATTAGAATCAAATTGTCTAAATGAATCCAAGTCATTAGAAATAAAGGTGTCTGAGAACACATCTGAAAGGTGACCAGGGCTGAGAGATGGCTCAGCAGTTAAGAACACTGACTGCTTTCCCAGAGGTCTTG